GGACACCCAGTCTCTTGTCCCAATCTGTACTCTGTTACAAACTATCTGGGTGACTCTGGCAATAACCTTTCTAGACTTCTGGATCCTTTGGTAAATATACAGATATTCACTTACATGCACTCTAAAATGTATGTGATCCATATTACATACTGAAATATTTTTGTTATTTGCCTGCAGTCAATGATTTCATAGTTAAGACATTGAGAACCTGGAGAGATTTAAGGGTAGGGAGTATCAATGTGGCAAATGAGACTGCATTGAACCACAGATGATAGAGGACCATTCTGGATATTTCCCACAGTCCTTCTTCACTGGTTGAAAAAAAAAAAAAGAACAAACTTCAGTAATTGTAGATTCCTTTTGCCTGACTTTGAAGAACCCACAATGTTGAAACATAGCACTAGCAAGGACCTTGACAGACCACTAATTATCCCCTATAGGTGAGATTTTTATGGAGCGTTCTCAGGCAGCAATCTCTGCGAGGGATATTTAAAGGCAGAGGAAAAGAATATGAGTGAAAAACCAGGATAGTAAGACAGAGGGTAGTGCAAATAGAGAAGGAATTACATAGTGGCAGCCTCTACCTGAAGAAGTACAGAAAGGTAGGTCCAAGAAAAATAATGATAGAGCACCATGATTTTCAATAGGAGATAGAGAGTATTGACACTGAAGTTTGCACTGGAAATTTTATCCTAGGAGAATTTGGTCAGACTGTCTTCATAAAAACTAAAAACAAAAAGTGTCCTTTAAAAAGCTTTTTATCTCCTCCCCCAGATCTTTTTTTATTTTTCTCCTTACTCCTCTCTTTCCAGTTTCCTAAGTATTTAATGGTAGTGAGAAGAATCAAAAGAAAGTTTTGCCAGGGCTAGTCAGGGAAATATCCCAGTTCCTCCACACACACTTCCCCCTCCTCCTGCCATCCTGATCTGTAATGATTAAAAACAAAAGAATGGGGGTGCTTGGATGGCTCAGTTGGTTAAGCATCCAACTCTTGATGTAGGGTTAGGTCATTGGGATCCTCTGTCCCTCTCTCTCTGACCCCTCTCCCACTCAAAGTAAATGAACAAACATCTAAAAACTTAAAAAAATTTAAAAAAGAAAGAAAATGGAAGACTAAAATAATTTCTCATTGAATGTATATAAGCATTTAAAATGCATGTCAAATTCCAAAGTTCCTTTCTATCTGACCAATGTCTCTGTGTCATTATAATTTCAATTTAATTTAATTTTAATTTATATATATATATGTGTGTGTGTGTACATATATATATATATACACACACACACACACACACACAATTCATTATAAATAACATTCTTAGGAACAATAAGCTATCTGCCTGAGGGCCACTTAAGAAATTGGAAAGATATATTAGTAGGGTAATAATGAAATAAGCTGCATGTAACAGTCCATTTGCTTACATTTTTCCCTGACTTTAATTCATTGCTTGTATATTTCTTGAGAGTGTTTGTAAAACAGTAGGAGCTTAAAGAGAGGGAGAGGGAAAAGGAGAGGGAGAGGGAGAGAAGGCAGAGAAAAAGAGAAAGAGAGAGAGAGGAGGTGGAGGTAGAGAAGAGACAGAGAAAGAGAGAGAGAGAAAGGGAGGGAGGGAGGAAGAGAAACTCTTAGAATCATGTATTGCTTTTTTCTCCTCATTGATGGAAGAATAACAAGGGTGGCCAGTTCCGAATGCCTTCTTGTGTGTGTGCTGAGGAACTGGTAGCTGCATTTTATTTTCTACCATAAAACTTTTTTCTCCATTATGAACAGGAAAAAATGAACGAGTAATATCAGCTACACTGCTTTGAAAATCTTCCTCTGGGGGATAATACAATACTGGCCCTGAGCTGACCTCCTGGGTTGTGCAAGTTCCTCTTGATAGCACCACTCCGTTTTTGCTACATCGTGATTTCTTAGTACAAACTAAGGGACTTCACACTGCCAACCTTTCCTCACCTCCAACAAATTTATCAGAAAACACTTTATTTTTAAGTGAAAACAAGTTGTAAATGAGCAGGCTGAGAAACAGATCACTCCCAATTCAATAATTACTGCTGCTTAGTAGCTCAGATGCCCAGGAAGCTCTTACAGGAATAATAGCAATAATACTTTTGATACTTAAAGTTTACTGAGGACTTTCTATGGATCAAGTCTACCCCTATATTCTCTGAAGATATTGTTTCAATCCTAAAAAAAACTATTTTATATTATGATCAATTTTTATTACTCCTAGTTTACAGATGAGGAAATGGAAACAATAATTTTAAAAACTTGCCCATGGTAAATCAGGGCATAGAACTGATTATATATATATAATATTTGTATATATTTATATTATATATATTCATAAATATAAATATATATAATATATAATATACACACACACACACATATTTTAGAGTGTGTGGAGAGTTTGTGTGAGCATGGAAGAGCGACAAAGGGACAGGGAGAGAGAGAATCTTAAGAAGGCTCCACTCTCCTGACACTGAGTCTCCAGGCAAAGAGCACAGAATTTAAAGTCAAGCCTCTTTTAAACTCCACAATCCCTGCCTTTAATAGTACTTTTCTCTCAGGTATTTTCCAGGAGATATTCGTAGTCACTTACTAGATGGAAAAGCGTACTTCGCATTACTAAGTAACATTGCCACCCCAGGGTTTTGAGGATCTCAACCGACACCTTTCCATTTGTTCTCTCAATTTTACCTCCTTAGGATGATAGTCAAGGCAAATGGAAAAGTAGAGCTTGTATTGTGGATGACTGTTATGTTTACAGAACTGAGAGAAGTTCAAATGTGATATATGCATTTATGTAGACACCAAAATATTTGTTAAGAACCCATTAGCAGCCAAGCATATATCAGAGGAAACAAAATGCACAAATTTAATTACAATGTCTTGCTTAACAGTGTTACTCTTCAATGAATGGATGACTGAGTGAAATTATTTGGCATGTAAGATTCCAACAAATATGTTCCTAATATGCAACTCTAATCTGAACTTTTAAAATATTACTCATTTGCCACTCCAAGAACTTCAGAGAATAACAGCAGGGCAATAATTTATACTTTAATGGTTAAAGGCTAACCTATGGCAATTATGTCTTAAATCCCCCTTAACATTTTATTGATGCCATACCTTTGTGCTCAGAAAAAGTATCCAATCAATATGGTTTTTACACATGAAAAATGTAGTTTTTTTCTTTCAGAATATTGCACGTGTTCTATATTACTTATGTGTCTATTTTCATTTATTCTGGATGATGTATATATGTTGCTTTTAATTAACATCGAGAAGTATAAGTACACTATTAGAGATGATCCATTTATAAAAGTTTATTTATATGTTATATAAACCCCCAAATAATAAAATTTACTACTATCAATAGGATGTGTCTTGTGTTATTTTAGTATTAGCAGTAATGTATTTGTATAGATCTATCTATACCTTTTCCCCCTTGGGATCAGCTACAAGGAAATCATCTATGCCTTAGCAAAAACCAAAACCTATTTGCAAAAACCAAAACGATGCAGGCTAAGCATCTGATTTGATAAATAACGAGTAAAGTATTTATATTTAGCTACACATGTCTTTAGTACTACATTCACAATGAAAAGCCAAAGGTATCATTTTACCAAAGTTGTTATTATATTTAATATGCCTAATTTAGTTGGGGATCGACTCCTTTCTGGTGTAAAGAAAACAAGTGAGAGTGTTTTCTGAGATGTCTATACAAGGATGTCTCCATTCCCTGAGAACCTTCTGTGGCATTGTAAACAATGGATGCCTCTGTACCACTTAAAGGATGTTTTTCTCATTTTTAAAAACAAGAAATTGTGAGGTAAAGTATAAATCCCTTGTATGCCATTATCGTGGCATTTACAATTATAGTTATTTTTTTAGTGTTTATTTATTTTTGAGAGAGAGACAGAGCATGAGCAAGGGAGGGGCAGAGAGAGAGGGAGACACAGAATCTGAAGCAGGCTCCACGCTCTGAGCTGTCAGCACAGAGCCCGACGCAGGGCTCGAACCCACAAGCCGTGAGATCATGACCTGAGCTGAAGTCGGATGTGTAACCCACTGAGCCACCCAGGCACCCTGGCAATTATAGTTATTTATTTGCTGGTCCATTTCACTCTTTTCAAGACCCTGAAAAGCTCCTCCGTACCCAAAAGTTATGCATCATGTGTTTTTTCTACTACCTGGCATAGTGTCCTCAATGAGTAATATTGGTGCTGACCTATGAAGCATCTATGAAAACCTATTTTTAACATTGTTTTATGTTCTGCATTAATAATCTTTCTGTCCTAAGACTCTTCAGTATATTATTTTGTGTTTCAGAGCATTTCTGGTGTATCTCTGAGTTGATGATTGTTTTTTGCATTTTATGGAAATAGAGATATTTCTTTTCATATTATTTACTCCCATTACTATAACTAATATGAATGTGTTATCCAAAATGATACAATAATTCCCAGAATTTTCTACTCCAAGTAAAATAAACTACCTAGACCATTTAGAGTTATAAAAAAGAATTTGTTCCATCTGGGGGAAGCACAATGAAACATTTAACTAACTATTCTCATATCTGGACTTATTTGTGCTACCATATCTGATTTATGCATTCAGCAAACATTTACTTACTTGCTATACTCTGTTAGGTCCTATAATGCTAATTGCATTTTATAAGTCAAAGATTGTCATATGTATGCATTTTATGAACCCAAGATTGTCATATTTATCTTGAATAATGCCATTTCTAAATGATAGCATTTATCTCCTTTTTCGAAGAGACACCATGAATTCATTTAGCAAAGGCCATAATATTATTATTATTATTATTATTGCCTATTATAGTTTATATATTCCAAAAGAAATATGGCAACACCAATTATATGATACAAGTGTTCTTTAATTTCATAGAAGATGTTTTTTGTATTCTAACGTGCACTTAATTCGCTAGCTGGGATTCATTGATTCATTACCCAAATTTTCATTCCAGGCCCTCCAGGCCCTCCAGGTGGTCTGCGAATAGAAGACATTAGAGCCACTTCTGTGGCACTTACTTGGAGCCGTGGTTCAGACAATCATAGTCCTATATCTAAATACACTATTCAGACCAAGACTATTCTTTCAGATGACTGGAAAGATGCAAAGACAGGTAAGTTTCATTTGTCTGATTAATCTGTACATATTTTTAAATTAATTATTTTCACAAGAATGAATATCTGGACTTTTTTTTTTATTTTTATTTTTTTTATTTTTTTTAAATTTTTTTTTCAACGTTTATTTATTTTTGGGACAGAGAGAGACAGAGCATGAACGGGGGAGGGGCAGAGAGAGAGGGAGACACAGAATCGGAAACAGGCTCCAGGCTCCGAGCCATCAGCCCAGAGCCCGACGCGGGGCTCGAACTCCCGGACCGAGAGATCGTGACCTGGCTGAAGTCGGACGCTTAACCGACTGCGCCACCCAGGCGCCCCGTATCTGGACTTTTTTAAGGATTTCATCATCTACCTTGAAATGCTTTTCTGTTTTTAATTTTTTTTCAAGTATCCCTGTGGAATGGTAGTGAAGAAAACCACAAGGAACTTAGACATTTTAAGGCTGCAGAAGAAGCAGCATTTCTGAATCTATAATGGGAAAGCAAAGAGAGGCCTCCTAGTTTTCTAGTTTGCTATGTGTAATTCTAAGGTTTATTAGGAAAAAAACTTCAGGAGATCTTTTTTTTTTTGGCAAATGATATCTATAGCTTATTATTTATGACCCATTTTTTTGCAATTACATAGGTACTATTATTCTGCATATTTAGAAAAGCCACGTTGATTATAAATATTAATTTAAGCACCCAGTTTCTCACTACTATAGCCTTTGTTTTTCAAAGATGATCATACCTGCTTTGAATTTCCTCAGAACATATTTTCAGTGAAGTTTTGGGTCTCCATTTTTTTTTTTCTTATACTAAGGTATTCTAAAAGTTGATCAGGAAAAATAAATGAGTAAGTGGGTTCCCTCCTTTATAGCTATTCCCATTGCCGTTTGTCATGACTAGACTATAACATCACATATCAGTTTATCTGTTGTAATGTCACAGAAAATGAAGGATCCTTTCAATGAAATAACCTGTTTCTGTTTGTCATTTTGACACTATTTTTAAACAAACTTGTAATTGCTAGGGTTTCTTTTAGATATAATGAAGAGACATAGAAATATGTGCTCACTTGTCACAAGGGGGGAAAAAACAAAATGAATAAAATGTTTGTCTTTTTAAAAATTGGAAAAGAAGTAATCCCAGAATATCCCAAACCTGCTCTTATTTTTGCTTTAACTAACATAATGGGATTTAATTGTACTGATCATTGAGAAGTTTTAGTTTAGATTTAATTTTCTTTGATAATTTATTCCTATTATGTGAAATGAACTAAATATAAACCTGAAGGCTGTTATGAGGGTTTAGATATATTTTAGTATTGAGGTATTCTCCATATATTATATAAAGAACACGAGTTAGAAACAGGTGAAATATTTCTGCTACATTATGCTTGCGAATGTAAGTTATCTAGCAATAAACTTGGCAAAATCAGACCATTTGAAAAATAATATAAAAACAATTTAGATGTTTGATAAACCTAAAGTATGGATATTTTCTATTTCTCTGAAGAGAATGAAAATGGATGATAATGATAATATTAGCTATCTAGCCTAATTGACACTGATTATAGATACTAGAGAACAGAATGCAATGAACACATTTAAATTTGGTTTGCTTTGAAAAAGGAATAATAATTGTAATCATTTTCATTAAATATATGTTCTTACTAGGTAGCTGAATAAAAATATACTTATCATTAAAATATCTATATCTATTCCACTAGAAAGTAAGTTCCATGAGGATGAAGGTTTTTATTCACTGCCCTACTCTAACTCCTAGATCAGGGCCCATAATGCTCATTTATTAAACACATGCTGATGGGGCCTCCATTGTATGCAAGAACCTGTCCTAGATTCTGGATATACACCTAGCCATCCATGAACAAAACAGAGAGAAGAAACACACACACACACACACACACACACACACACACACACACCCCATACCCTCAAAAGAGTTTACATTCTAGTAGGAAAGATGGCAAAAATAATTACAGTAAATGTACAGTAAAATATACAGTAAGTCCTATGGTGATTAGTGCTAAAGAGAAACAATCGTGAAGAGGGATCAGGATACAGGAGTTACATTTGAAAGAAAGGGTGCTTCTGATATTAATCTAGTCACCCCAACTTTTGCATGGTTCTTGTTTACATGTTGTGTCTTTCACAACTGTCAGCCTATTTCAATCTTTGAATCTATAGTATGTTTTATGTTGAAACATATAGTTGCTTATTTTTTATCCTGACACCCACTGCCTTTTGATTGGATTCTTTAATCGATTAATATTTCATGTTACTATTTATATAGCTGGGTTTATATATGCCATTGTATTTTATTCTGTTTATTTTTTTTAAGTTTTTATTTAAATTCCCGTTAGTCAACACACAATATAATATTGGTTTCAGGTGTACAATTTAGTGATTCAACACTTCCATATAATACCTGGTGCTCATCACAAGTGCATTCCTTCATCCCCATCACCTATTTCACCCATTCCCTGCCCACCTCCCCTGTGGTAACTATCCATTGTATTTTTGCTTACTAAATGTTTTACTTGTTTTTGTTCCTTTATTCCTTCTTTACTGCTTGAGTGAATATTTTCTAGTATAACATTTTAACTACTTTAATGAATATATATATTTATGTAGTTAATGGTTACTCTATATATACTATATATACATTACTGAATATAAATAAATGAATTTTAAATATAAATATAAGTATACATGTTATTACTCTAGGGCTCACCAGCTACATCTGAACTTGTTAGAATACTTCTATGTTTACTAACTTAATTTCAGTGAGATGTGGAAATGTTACTCCTAGATAACTCTATTGCATCTTACCCATTTTTTGGTGCTATGTATTATTTTTATACCTCTCTATATATTACAACCTGTTATTCTTCTGTTACTGTCTTCTAAAGAAGCTACAGGAAGAAAGGAAAGCAAGTACATATTTATAGAGTTTGTTATATTAACTTTTTTATTTTCCATTTTTAGTCCTCCTCATTTGTTCCTGTGGATTTGAGTTACCATCCTTACTCTGATACAACTTCGCATCCACCTGCCTTTAAGATATTATCAAATATATTACACTTCTGTATGTCTTAGGCCCAACAAAAATTTTTATTTTATAATATAAAATATATACAATAAATATTTTAAATGTTTATTTTTGTGTGTGAGAGAGAGACAGAGCATGATAGGGGGAGGTGCAGAGAGACAGGGAGAAAGAGGATCCTAAGTGGGATCCTCCACACTGACAGCAGAGAGCTCGATGCTGAACTCAAACTCATGAACTGTGAGATCATGAGCTGAGCCGAAGTCGGATGCTTAACCGACTGAGCCACCCAGGTGCCCTTATAATAAAAAATTTATATATATAAAACTCATGAGACAGAGTAAAATGATAGTTGATGTCAGCCACTAAATTTGGGGGTAGTTTATAATGCAAATAGCAATAGTGGATGACAAGATATGCAGGGGCTTGTAGATCCTATAAGGAATTTGTAAACAAAGGAGACATAATGATGTATGGAGAAGGGATTTCTGGAGGGCCAAAACTAGAAACATGGAGAATAGCTAGGAGGATATTGAAGGTGAGGTATGTCCAGGTCGGAGATGTCAGTATTTAGGACAATGGGATAGCAATGCGCATGGAGAGCGGTGCATGGGTTTGAGATATATTTTTGAAGGCAAAACAGAGCTTTCTAACAAATTGAGTATGGATATTGAGAGAAAGGGCAGAATTGAGGATGGGAAATGAGATTTTGGCTCTAGCATCTGCACAAAACGTAGAAACATTCACTGAGAGAAGAGAGATTAAGTGCAGGTGAGGACTTAGTTCCATTTTGGAAAGTGTTCTCCATTTATTTATGTAGACCTGAATTTCCATCTAGTATAATTTTCCTAAGTGAAGAACTTTTTTAATATTTCTGATTGTGCAGGTTGCTGGAGTCAATGACCTTTAGCCTTTGGAAATTTCTTTCATATCATATTTGTGATAATTTTTTTAATATAAATTCTAAGTTGTTTTTTGAGCATTTTATTTTTTATTTCTTTTTTTTTTAATGTTTATTTATTTTGGAAAAACAGACAGCGTGAATAGGGGAGGGATAAGAGAGAGAGGGAGACACAGAATCTGAAGCAGGCTTCAGGCTCTGAGCTGTCACCACAGAGCCTGACGCAGGGCATGAACTCACAAACCGTAGTAATGACCTGAGCCGAAGTTGGATGCTTAACCAACTGAGTCACCCAGGCACCCCTTTATTTGTTATTTCTTTTATTTTTTAGTTTACTTATTTTGAGAGAGAGAGAGAGAGAGAGAGAGAGAGAGAGAGAGAGAGAGAGAGGAGGGGCAGAGAGAGAGGGAGAGAGAGAATCCCAAGCAGGCTCTGAGCTGTTAGCACGGAGCCTAATGCTGGGCTCAATCTCGTGAACTGAACCATGAGATCATGACCTGAGCCAAAATCGAGAGTTAGAGGCTTAACTGACAGAGCTACCCAGGCATCCCTTGAACATTTTGCAAATATTATTCTTTTATCTTTTTGCTTTTGTTGTTTCTGATAAGAAGTGAACTATTTATTGTTTTTACCTTATATTCCTGTATTTAATGTGTCCGTCATGTCTAGCTGCTTTCAAGATTTTTTTCCTTTTTGCTTTTCAGCTTGATGAAAATATATTTATCCTGGTGGGGGTTTACTGGCAAGCTTGATCTTTGAGTTGATATCTTCCTTCAACTTAGAAAATTCTCAGCCATTATCTCTTCAGATATTTCTTCTGCGTCATGCTCTCTTTCTCTTCTTGGTCTGTGTTGCCATGTATGTTAGGTTGTTTGATGTGTTCCATAGATCATGGATGTGTGTGTTTGCTTCTGATTGGATAGTGTCTAATGAATTGTCTTCACCCTCATAGATTCTTTTCTATGCTACATTCAGTTTGCTGAAGATCCTATAAAAATTATTTTGATTTTTTATTTCTATTAATCTCCAGGATTTTTTGTTTCCA